GCTGTTTTCATTAAGTCATTATTCAAGGAAGCACAAGGTTAAGGTCATATAAGCTAAGAAAAAAATGTTTCAATGCCACATCCTGTTGATCAATGAATCCTTAACCATCTTAGAAGAAGCTCTTCCCCAAAGTGCTTCACTTAGGAGACAGCAAACAGCATCAACCTTCCTTTCCTCTATGAAAACAAAAATTACCCACATAAATCCAAATCCAAAGGACACACTGCGATACCATTTCTCACCTAACAGATTGGCAAGAGTCTCAAGTTTGACAGCACACTCTCTATTGGCAAGGCTCTGGAAAAATAGCTATACTCATGCTTTACGGATAGGAGTGAAAATTATTAAAACTAGGAAGAAAAACCTGGCAATATTTAATAAAATTCCCTATGAATGTACCGTTTGATTGTATTTGAGAATCTATTCCTAAGATATCTGGTAAAAATACAAGTGTGCACAAGGTTATTTATTACAACTTTTTTTTTCTTTTGGTAAGAGCAAAAGACTGGAAACTGCCTAAATGTCCACCCACAGGGTACTGAAAGAGTTAAAGCAAATGGCCTGTGATCCATTTTACTCCTGATTACCCAGGAGACACTGGGGATGGGTAAAGAAGGTAATTGACCTGGATTAGGCTCTTTGAAAACACTAACTAGATCACTGTGCAAATAGCTTAATAAACTTTTTTCTGCTCAGGAGAGAGTCCTCATCAATGAAATGCTTTAATTAGGAATTCCTGGTTTAGGTTATTATAGTAAACAAATCTTCAATCCATATATTTATGAGGCATGATTCCTTGGAGAATATCACATAAGCTGTTCAAATTTCTTAGGTATAAAATAGGGGATGTTACAAAATTAAATGTTTCTTGCTATGTGAGGGAATTGTAAACCTCATTAGAAACCTCATTTATCACTCTGGGCCAGGGAGCATGGACCTGAGGTGAAAAAGAAGGACCCAGGAGCCACATGGATATCCTGGATTTCTTTCTGCAATTCCACGTATCTCTTGATAACTTGTATCCTTGAAATTATTAGCAAAGTTTGATACTGTCTAAGATCCCTGATTTGACCAATCTCATTCTTTGTGTTAGCTCATCCACACAAAGGAACACCTTCTGCAGGTTAATGAAGTGAACTATATATACACTAATATAGAATGGTCCCCAGGATATAGTCTCAGTGAAAAAAATCAAAGTGTAGAAGAATGTATGTAATATGCCACTCTTCATGCAAGGACAAGGCGAGATATAGATATACAAGTACATAAGTGTTAGCTTGCATATGCAAAAGTAAACATCAGAAGGTTAAACGAAAAGCTAATAAACATGGTAACTATAGAAAAAAAAAGGAACAGGGCACAAGAGAAAGGGATAAATGTGATATTTCTCTGAGTAAACTTTGTAATATAATTTAAACTTGGAGATATATGTTATATAAACAAAAATAAAATTAAATCAAAAGGAAAAAGTCTGTTGAAATTTAAAAAATTCTGAAGCAAATGAACCAAATTATATATAAAATCTATGACATGATCACATAGGAAAAAAATTGAAGCAACTTTAGTTTTCAGTCTTTCGATTGTACATCCTTAACAAAATATAAAATTAACACAGAGTACAATTTTTTAAACTTCATTCAGTACTCTTATTGTTAGTGATAATATTATTATAATGTTATTTTGAAAATACTATATATACAAGTTCTGACAATTAAGTTTGTGAACTTGCCACAGTGCGCTTACATTGGCAGCACTGTACAAATAGCTCAGTTAAGGTTTCATAACCTTGGTGTATCTGTGTCTCACAGCTGTGTTCGTGTCCGCATGTGGTGGTGTCTCACTGAGTGGTCCATTATTGTTGTTGTGTGTTTTTGTGTACCATCGCAAGAACGTCTGAGCTTGAATTAGAGCAATGAAGAAACATTAAATTTCTTGTTAAACTTGGCAAGAGTGGAAGCGAAATCAGGGGCATGTTAGTCCAAATTTATGGGGATAATGCCATGAAGAAAACGGCAGCGTACAAATGGAGTAAACGTTTTTCTGAGGAGAGAGAATGCGTCACTGATGAAGAGAGGTCAGGGAGGCCAGTAACAAACAGAACTGAAAAAAACATTGCAAAAATTTGTCAAAGTGTCTGTCAAAATCATCAGCAGATTATGAGGAGCATTGCAGACCAAATAAACATCAATAGAGAAACAGCGAGGGAAATCTTAACTGAAAATCTTAGCATGAGAAAGGTGTGTGCAAAAATGGTCCCCAAGGAGCTCACCAATGAACAAAAGCAAAGGAGAATCGAAGTTTGCCAACACCTTTTGGAGAAAGCAAGACAATGTTTTGGGCCATGTTATCACTGGTAATGAAACATGGATGTACAAATATGACCCTGAAACAAAGTGTCAAAGTGCACAATGGAAGTCAGCCAGTTCTCGATGACCAAAACAGTTCTGTCAGTCCAAATCAACAGTCAAAATGATGTTGCTAACCTTTTTTGATATCAGAGGGATAATTCATTATGAATTTGAACCAACTTGACAGATGGACAAACAGTTAACCACGTTTACTATCTGGAAGTGCTGAAAAGGCTGCGTAAAAAAGTTAGACAAAAACAACCTGAACTTTTCGCCAACAATTCATGGCTTTTGCATCACGACAATGTGCCAGCTCACACAGCATTGTCTGTTAGGGAGTTTTTAGCCAGTAAACAAATAACTGTATTGTAACACCCTCCCTACTCACCTGATCAGGACTTCTTTGTTTACCTGAAGGTAAAGGAAATATTGAAAGAAAGACATTTTGATGACATTCAGGACATCAAGGGTAATACAATGACAGCCACTCCAGAAAAAGAGTTCCAAAATTGCTTTGAAGGTTGGACTAGGTGCTGGCATCAGTGCATAGCTTCCCAAGGGCAGTACTTCAAAGGTGACCATAGTGATATTCAGCAATGAGGTATGTAGCATTTTTTTATAAGATGAGTTCACAAATTTAATTGTCAGACCTCATACATTAAGATGAAATGAGTTTTGTTAAGAACTAAGATTTTTCAATGAAAAAGAAGATACACATATAATAGAGAAACTAAAAATTCTGTAAGATCACACTTGAATTGGAAATACTGTATGACTTCAGGATTTATTTTTCTTAAAAAAGGCCTCTCCTAGCTTGCTCTATTTAAAAAGCCCAGAAACAAGACCACTCCAGATGAGAATCCCTAGTATTTAGACTGTGGTTTCCAAATACCATTCTCTACAAAGAAGGAGGGGCTCCTTAGAGGATAGCTGACTCTAGGTCCAGAATACTGGGTGGGTGTGGTATATCTGGTTGTGCTAGAAACATGGAAACTATACAAGACCAGTGGGCCTGTGTCAAAAGGACAAGAAGTCAACATGAAGTTGTCCTCAAAGACTGAAAGGGAACAATTTGAGTTTACACCAATGGGAGATAGAATATCAAATGAAACAATACCACAAACAAAAAAATCCAGAATGTGAGACATTCTGCAAGACAACTGACCTGGTTTCTGTGAAGATAAACAAAATGAATCTGGGAGGGAATTGGGGGAAACCATCTAAATAAAGAGGCTTGAGAGATCAAAATGGAATATGTGGGCTTAAGTTGCATGCTGACATTTTTTAGATGATCAGAAAATTTAAACATTGATTGGGCAATAAAGGATGCTAAGGACATATTGTTATTGTATTTGGTATGATTGTGGCATCCTGATTCTGGAAGAAAACATCCTTTTTTTTCAGATCTATGTAGAGACAAAATGACATGATGTCTGAGGTTTTCTTTAAAATATTTCAGCCCCCCAAAATGGGTAAAGCAAGTATGACAAAATCTTACTGAAACTGAGAAATGGATGTATGATGTTCAATTTGTTTCTTTACCTCCTTTTGTGTATGTTTGACATTTTTCATAATATAAAAGAAGAACTAAGATAAAGATGCTTTGGGAAAAGATTTGAAACTGGACATGATTTTCCATTCTTGTTTTAAGTTGGTCCCTGGAATCTGTCCAAGCCAAGCTCCCCCAATAACCTTAAGAACTAACTATGAGAACTTCCTGTGAGGCCCAACAATGATGGTACTGATTGAGTGGAAGTATATATATAGAAATAGATAAATCTTTGAGTCAATTAAAGAATGATACAAAAATGCTATCACAGTCGGACTAGTGATGATGTAGTATCTCTCACTTTTGGAGAAATAATGCATTTTAAAGTATTTTATTATTTCTTTTATATTCTCTAAGTACTCTGTCAGCTTGATCAATACACATAAAAACTTTTCAATATGATGAAAAAAACTAATCAAAATCTACTTTTAGAGTAAAAAATAAAATGTATTTCTTTCAATAGTTGTATTGACATTGCAAGTTCAATATAAGATACTAAATGCCAATGGGAGAGATCTGTCCGATATGCTGCTATTCCATTCCAAGGGAAGGTGGTTTAGTAACTTTATTGATCCTATCTCTACATTTTCTGAGGTTATAATGAGTTTGTTTGTTTTTTCTTTTGGGGAGATGCAGGTGTAGAAATGCTTAAGAGTGACATAATCTCAGCCTTTCACTTAAAGTTGATAATAAGATCCAATAATTTTAATAATTGGAAAGCTATCGATATAAATATAAATGTCTCTGCACTAGAACTGCAGAATAACATATGAGGTGAATTAGGTAGAAGAAAGTAAACTCTAATTCTTATAAATTTCTAACAATACAACTTACCTTATCTACGGTTTAACAGTTTAAGAAGCATTTTCAAATAAGTTGTTCAATTTAATCTTCATGTCTACTCTCTGTGCAGGCAAGGATTTATAAAGTAAAGCTCTACTTTACAAAGAAACTGAGTTTCAAGGGGCAAAACGATGACTTATTCAAGGACACACATTTACTTAAGTAGTGGTAGCAATACCACTGATGTAAAATCAATAAATTACTTAGAATAAAATAGGACACTAGCAACTAAAAGTGAAGACATGCTAAACCCCACTTACCTTTCAAAACCAATTTGCCGAAATGTCTTTTCCCATGTTGAGCCTGTAACAGAAGGAACATGATTAGTGCACAGCAAGTATCCACATAGTTTTGTCCTGTTTTTACACACCCTGCTTGGTACTTGGTTTTACATTAAAGTAGAAGACTGTTTTCCCTAGGATGTATTGCTCCTCACCTCCAGTCTCCAAATGGCCTTTTAGAGAGCATTCCACATTGGGAGTTAAGTGCATACCTCCTGCAATGGGACAAATCTCTACCCCACTTTCCTGTGGTAAGGCAATAGCCCACTAAATCATTCTCTAAATGTCTAAATGTCTGGTTCAGAATAACATGAGCAAAACTCTGTTATCAAATAATAATGAAGCAGCATATTGCAAATTGTACTTTCTAAAATTCAACTTTTAGTTTTGTTGTTCATATGGAAGCTATCAATACATGACACTGTAGGGGGGCAAAATTCTGCCACCTCAAAATGTGCCTTTTTGTCATGAGGATTATTTTAGGCTGATTAATTTTAAGAAATAGAAGACTCTAGAAGTTTCTCTTTTTACCTCCCCCTTAACTGCCTAAAAGAATTTAGATACTGGTGCCTGTAGCAGGAAGAGAGCTATTACCAAAGATAACTTTTTTTTTAAATGCTTGTTTTTATTAAATGCACCTGTTCTTAAGAGCCAGCCTCTCTGGGATAGAATCCCAGTACTGTCACTTGCTTGTTTTAAACCTGAAGTGAGTTCTTTAATCTTTCTGTGCCTCAATTTTCTCATTTATGAAATGAGATAATACTGTCATCAGATATTAAGATTAAATAAGTAACAAAATATTTTAGTTTATTATTTATCCCATCATTTGAATATATGACTTTTATGTATTATATGTTACATTATAGAATGTAGTATAATACTTGTTTGTTTGGGGTTTTTTTTTGGTTTTTGTATTATTATTTTTTATTATTATTAGTTTCAGGTGTACAAAACAATGCAATAGTTATCCTTTTCACCCCTCACGAAGTGACAACCCCCTCCTCCATCCACTGCCCCCCCATGCCTGATATCATGCACGTATATTACAATTCCATTGACTCCATTCCCACACTATATTCCACATCCCATGACTATATATGTATTAAATTATGGTTGACATCTAATATTATTCAACGGCAACTTCAGATGTATAGTGCAGTGGTCAGGCCTCTACACCATCTATGAAGTGCTCTCCCTTACAAGACATGAGTCCATCTGGCCCCCTAAAAAATATTTACAACACTGTTGATTATATTCCCCAGACTGTCTTTTCTATTCCTGAGTCCATATTGTAGTTACCAATTTATGTTCTTTCGTCCCTTCCCCTTCTCCTTCATCCCCACCCCCTCCCAACTAGCAGCCATCAGTTTTTCCTCTGTGTCTTTGAGACTATTTCTGTTTACATGACTCATTTATTCAGTTCTTTAGGTTCCACATATAAGTGAGATCATATGGTATTTGTCTTTCTCTGACTGACTTATTTCACTTAGCATAATGTTCTCTAGGTCCATCCATATCATTGCAAATGGTACTATTTCCTTCTTCTTTATAGCTGAGTAATACGCCATTGTGTAAATGTACCAAAGTTTCTTAATACAGTCATCTACTGATGGGCATTTCGGTTGTTTCCAACTCTTGGCTATTGTGAATAGTGCTGCAATGAACATAGGGGTGCATATATTTTTTTCGAATTAGCATCTTGGGTTTTTCTGGATAGATACCTAAGAATGGAATTGCTGGGTCATACGGTTTTTTGAGATACCAGTTTTTTGAGATACCTCCATACTGATTTCCATAGTGGCTGCACCAGTCTGCAGTCCCACCAACAGTGCACCAGGGTTCCCTTTTCTCCACAAACTCGCCAGCACTTGTTGTTTGTTGATTTACTGATGATAGCCATTCTGGGGGGGAGGGGGTAAGGTGGTATCTCATTGTGGTTTTTATTTGCATTTTTCTAATGATTAGTGAGGTTGAACATTTTTTCTTATGCTTGTGGGTCAAGATAACCTCTTTTTACATTAGAAGACTTCTCTGCATGTCATGGCAAACATCTGTTTACCAAACATTTGCTCTTCTCATCTCCACGTGAACTGCTTCCTCCTCTTTGAAGTTCCACACCCAAACCCCCTTCTCTTTAGCCTAGGGTAATATGTAAATCTCAATTGCTTGACTGAGAGACTCATATCTTTGGGGTTCTCATATGTATAAAATTAAATTTGTTTTTCTCCTGTTAATTTGTCTTATGTTAATTTAATTATTAGACCATCCAGAGGAACCTAGAAGGGTACAATAAAATGTTTCCTTCCAACAACACTCTGAATTTCCAACTCATTATACATTATACATGATGCCTTTATCTCACTAACATTAAAGCACGGGATTAACATTTTATTTTTATTTTGTAAGCTAAATATTTTAATCAGAAGTCTCCTGAATGCAAAAATGCTGTTTAAAGTAACATGATTTGAAAAGTACTATATTCAATTCCACACAAAGAAAGCTGGATATAAAAAAGATTTTCTACAATCTTTGCATGTAATAATTCTTCCCTACATTATAGGCATAATAATTTTCTACGTACTTGATAGAACAGTGCAAATTTTTATCAAAGACTGTTTTAATAAAAATTCTGCATGTACAAAAGTTAAGGGTTTGTGCTTAACCCATAGTTTTACATTTTCATGATGTTCAGGCAGTGGCAAAAACATTCTGATTTCAGTAACTATTTCAAGCAAACACCCACATATCCCTAAATTCATAACTTGTATTTTATACTACTAATAGCTGCTTGATCATGACAACAGAGAGTTTCTGCCTTTCTGTGCAGTTTCGCTCTGCACACAGGTGGGTTCAGCACTGGTCTCCAGAAGCAGCTGAACAGCTAGCCTGCTTCTTTCCTAAAGTCAGTGCTGGGGTGGCGGCTGTGTTTCTTTCTTGAGAGCGCTACCTCCCATTCTTTATCTTCAGGTGGTTACTCAGTGTCTCCTAAACATTAGACAGACTTTCTGGAAAGGCAGGAGATTTTATACAGGAGAAGTTTCCTCTCTGAGGATTGAACTAGTCCCAAGAGAGCACAAACATGGTGTTTCACCATGGGGACAGGGTCCATACTCCTAGGTTATGACAGATCATTTAAAATAATTTTTATAAATAATAAAGGACTAAGTTTCAGATATGAATTATACATACATACTGTGGACGGAAAAGGGGCCACATGTTAAACCTGACAAGCTCAGGAGACAGAAAATAACCACAGAGGATGGCGTGAACATAAAAATTTTAATAAAGGTGGGCCATGGCGGTAAGTCACATCCTTGGCCTGTAGTTTCCTTGACAAAGGTCCATCTTTACCCTAAGCCTATCTGTCATCTTGTTTGCATCTAAGATAACATACCCTTACAATATCAGAGTAATCTCTTTTTTGGGACGCCCCCAGGGGGCACAACCCACCACACCAGAGCAGGAAACTACAAAATCCCTCATTGTTATCTTGTTCCCCAAATACTATCTCTATGTGCTGTAAAATGCTATTAATTATGCTGTACCCACCAATGTAAAAGAAGTACATCCCTCTCCATTTTACTGTTTATCCAATCCCAGAGAGTTCCCTGCTCTGCTTTCTCCCACCCCCTTAATCTACAACCAATGGATTTCATGTAACCTTCCTCTTCTGATTCTAATGTATAAAATAAGTTGCAAAACGGCCATTTTCTGGAGCATTTTCTCAATCCCTTGAGATTTTTCTTCCCGGCAATTGTCATCAGTTTGGCTCAAATAAACACTTATAAGTTTTGCCTTAGGCTGGATATTTTTCATCGACAAGAGAGCACAAACATGGTGTTTCACCATGGGGATAGGATTCATACTCCTAGGTTATGACAGATCATTTAAAATACTTTTTACAAATAATAAAGGACTAAGTTTCAGATATGAATTATACATACATACATACATACATACATACATACATACACATACAAATTTAAAGCAGATTCAGGCTTATCTCCTCGGATAAAGTCACTCTTATCCAATTGAATTCCAATATGCTTTGTTGAGCTGGAGTAAAAGACATGGAATTTTAGTTAACCAGCACAGGAATTTCTCATGGCCCCTGGCCCAGTGGCCTGAGTGAGCTCCTTATGCATGTCATTTGTACTGTGAGTCACAAGCAAAACAATTAAGAATCTCTATCTCAGGAATTCTTTAAAGATAATGATCCTGCCCCTAAAATCTTAGCAATTAAGACACTGGCAAAGAATATATAACCTGAGTCAGAAACCATATTGTACTCCAAGACAGCTGGCAACTGCCTGGCCCAAACTAGGAAGGAGAGCTTAAGAGTCTCCTGCCAAGTGAGAACCAGACAGTCTGAGTGCAGACCAAATGGGAAGGGTCCAAGGGAGGGTGACGTGGGGGTGGGATGGGGGGGGGAAATGGGTTTAGATGCTACTTTTCTTGGCTTCTCTTATTTCCAGCGAAAAACAAAGCACCTTTTAAATTTTTCTACATTTGCATTTTCTCCAGTTCTTTTCAGTATATTCCTAAATTAATTCTTTAAACAAATTTTTAAGAAAAATCTCTTTTTAATAGATTCAATTTATTGTCAAGGTAAAATAAAAATAAATGACTTTGCTATACTGCACTATCAGGCTTTTAGAACATGGAAATTTAATTAAGAAATAGGTTCCATCTTCTTATTTCTGAGAAAAGTAAACTTATTCAAACAGGCAGAACAAGTTAAAAGTGTTCAGTGCAAGACTTCCAAACTCCTTAGAGTAAACATTATCAAGCCATTCAACCAAGCACAAGACAGATGATGAAACGACTTCCTTGTAGAAACTAAAAATCAATTTAATTAATAATTTGAGCATCTTCCATACCATAGGTATCCATCATTGACTGTTATTGATACTCTGCTAACCATCATAATAGTTATATATAGGACTGAATATATTAAAATATGGTTTCTTCCCTCAAACACCCTAGAGGGTTAGGTTTTATGTCTTTTGTGAGCACTTAGTC